ACAGCTGCTCTGCTGTTACGTCATCGCTTGCAACGAGTGTTACTGTGTCGTTACAGTCTTTTCTATGTCATTTGGCCACTATCAGATATATATAATCCATATAAATTACGAATAAAAATAATCACTGAACTGTGTAATTAACAACTTTAAGGCACGACTTCAGCTGCCAAAAAGGAAATCCGTAGAAAATATGAATAAAAACAATCACTAAATTTTTTAGTTAATAAGCTATGTTCTCTGCAAGGTTAAGTGACAACTAGATTTTTTGGAGTGGTCAGCGTTTTTATTGGTCATTCTGTCGTATTCAGGATAGAAAAAAGAAGAACAAAAAATATATATTTCATTTATTGTATAGTTTCATCTTTCAATTACTTTGTGGTGGGGGGAGCTTTGATTATACGAACCGGCGATCCCTCCCCGCGACATGTGTTAAGATGGCTAAAATTCTTGGTCTTCTTTGTAGGTATTTGGATCAAGAATCTTGCGTAAGTGAAGAGAATTGGTGGCAAATTGTTACCGTTAGGATGATGACGTAAACAAGACAACGAAGTTGAGGACAAATAATATGAGTTACACAAACGAGAAAATACGCGAGAAAAAACAAAAACGTATAGTAATGGGAGATAGTCTTGAAAGAGGATTTGCCAAGGAACTGAAGGAAAGATTAAAACCGAATTTTAAATACAGGTTATTATAAGAGCTGGATCCACTGTAGGAAATTTTCTGAAAACGACTTGCTCGGATTTAAACACTTTTAACTAAGAGAGACGTTTGTTTGGTATGGGTAGGTACAAATGTTGGGAGAAATGAGTTCTTTCCAAAATTAAAATTCAGTTACTGCTCCTCAGTTCATATTCTTACCATCAAGAGAATTTAAACGAACCAATCGCAGTTCCAGTGGTGCCGTTTACAAAGTAATCAAAATACGAAGTTGCATTCATCTGCGATGGCAGTGTTAATTCTTTGAATGTTGTTTCCAGACAGATCATGTGAGTACATTCAATCTGCCTGTATGCTTTCATGAGGTTGTATCGTATGTGTTCAGAATGTAAACAAATTGTTGTTAGTGAAATCTGGAGGATGTTTGTCCAATTAACAAGTTCCCATGCAAGGCACACTATATGCATTTCAGTTTGTCTTTCATTTTGAGGGGTTTTTCTTTTATGAATGAAATGCTCTCTCAATAGTCGCACCTAATAGAACAAATACACCCCAGGTAATGTTTTGCAACTTCATGTCGGTGGCCATTTTAACAAGCAGCCGGCTTTGTTTACGTGCGCACCGGTACAAGGGTACTTTGTAATTTGAGTCAGAATTACTGGGTTTTTGGATCTGTCCATCGTCCTGTATGATAGAAACTAGAGAACAGAATGTTTTGTAAACTGGATCTATTTCCGTCCCCAGGTGAAGAGGGAAAGGCACTTAAGTTGAGCTAACCTCAATCCAGTGTTTGAGGTTAGATCTTTCTAAGGGACCCAACTGAGTAGCTGTCTTCCCTCCCTCACCTGAGGATGGAAACAGATCCAGTTTGCAAAACGTTGTGTGAATACTGGACAATGGACAGAGTCCAGAAACTTGGTAATTCTGAGTGTTATACACCATCATCAGAACCGTTTAGAGCCTACTTGTAATTTGTGTTTACAGCACCTAAATTGGGGTGCAGGTGTGGCATTGAAGTGGTGGTTGTCTGTGTTATATGATTCTCTGAGGTGAACATGTTTTATTGTACATTTGTTAATAATGGTGGCTATAATGCCTGCTTCTGACCATTCTGAAAGTGAAGATGAGTTGCTGCCATGCTGGGAGGAGAGGTGACAGTGGATGGCAGCATGTATTATGTGAAGTAGGTACAGCCGATGGTTCCTTAATGGCCTGTTCCATTGGCTGCTTGTGAAAAGAATTGGCATTACCATTGTTTGAATGTGGAATTATTCCAAGTTTGTAATGAAATGGCAGTGCAAGATGTAAAATTGGTTGTAAAAGCAGCTGGATTTTGTGTGAATGGATGTATCATTAATGAACTGATCTAAATGAGCTCACTAGAGACTTTGTGCTGTTTGAGGGAGTAAGACATAATCAGTCACTGCAAACGGAAATTAATTTTGTAAACCTCAGTGCCGGATGAATTGAGAACTGATTAGGCTTCTTAATGATATTTGTGTTAGGCATAGTGATAGCGTAAATATTCATAACTGCTACAACAGAATAGCATTTGTGGACCTAACCTGAGCCAAATCTGGGTCTCATCCCCTTTTCTGCATCCTGGGTGTGATTGGCCACTTCTGCCTTTCATGAGCCATTTTGGCAATCTTTCCTATACATACTGCTACTTTCCCAACTTAGATCTCTTCTACCCTGAAGATGGAGAGAATAAGTTTGTCAGAAACGTCATTAACCACTTCCAGACTTCATTGTTTCATTACCCAGAAGACCATCACATGACACATCAATCTAGTTCATATCCTGGAAAGCTATTTCCACAAGATCTACTTTAATATTATCCTTTCACATATGTTTGTGTAGGTACTGGCAAGCTGTGTGGCACACAGTATTGTTGTACAGGCTGGCGTGAGCATGGCATACTCAGCTGTATTGTTGCCACAACTTGCCGATCCTGACAGTATTCCTACGGCCACAAAAGATCAGAGCTCATGGATTGGTATGTAAATTTTCCAAGCAACTTGATATTACTAGAAAGCTTATGATGAACTAAATGTATCGGGGCTGACTGGTTTTTGTTTGATGACTGTTCCCTGTTGGTGGTTTTATAAGAATACTGACTCACATTGTACATTTGAAAATACAGATATGCTTTACAATAATTGTAAGTCTACCAATTAATAGTAGGATCTGGGATAGCATAGTCTGTATAGCAACTGGCTACGGGCTGGACTACCGAGAGGTCGGAGTTTGAGTCCCGGTATGTTCAAGAATTTTTACTTCTCCATATCATCCAGACCGGCACTGGGACCCATCCAACCTCCTATGTAATGGGTACCAGGGGACCTTTCCCAGGGATAAAGCGGCCGGGGCATGAAACCGACCACTCACTCCATCTAGTGCTGAGGTCAAGAAAATGTGGATGTATACATCCACTCCCCCATACATCTTTGAGATAATGGCCATAGAAGTGTGAAACTTTGACAGGTGTTACACACTTGTTGATTGCCAAATACATATTAAAACTGGCAGGAATATGTGGTTTCTGTAATGTTAATAATGTACGTAACATCAAACTAACTTGTGAGTCACATGAAGCCATTAACTTGAAGTACAAAAAAACTTGTACGCCATGTCATAGTTGTTGTTAGGGTTCCAAGCACTGTACATGACACATGAATGGCAAGCACTGATGTAACATGGCTGACTGTGCATTCTGGTATGCGAGTGTATGCGGCTAGTGTGAGCTGTTATCACCACACTCAAGGACAAACATTGAAAAGACTTGTCAGCTGACAGGTACAGTGTGTGGACCCACCAGAAGACCACACTTTTCTCGGGCCATTATCTCCGTAACCATTCAACTTTGGACATAGCTGTTTTGGGTTATATTGGCGTACTTTAACATAAGGAACACACCGTCTGGCACATGACTCCTGGGACATCCTGTGTATATATATACATATATGGATCCATTGGCATGTTAGTTACCTTATTAAAGTTTAAAATAATTTCTATATATAAGATTGCTCAGCAGTCCTGCATCATAGATGTTAAATGGTGGTTTCCTTTAGTCCTGCCATAAAAATGTCAGGACAGTACATGAAATGAATAAAATGTCAAAATCAGTACCCTTGAAAGAGAGAAATGTAAATGTAGTTTACCTTATTAAAGTTTAAAATAATTTCTATATGCAAGATTGCTCAGCAGTCCTGCATCATAGATGTTAAATGGTGGTTTCCTTTAGTCCTGCCATAAAAATGTCAGGACAGTACATGAAATGAATAAAATGTCAAAATCAGTACCCTTGAAAGAGAGAAATGTAAATGTAGTTTACCTTATTAAAGTTTAAAATAATTTCTATATGCAAGATTGCTCAGCAGTCCTGCATCATAGATGTTAAATGGTGGTTTCCTTTAGTCCTGCCATAAAAATGTCAGGACAGTACATGAAATGAATAAAATGTCAAAATCAGTACCCTTGAAAGAGAGAAATGTAAATGTAGTTTACCTTATTAAAGTTTAAAATAATTTCTATATGCAAGATTGCTCAGCAGTCCTGCATCATAGATGTTAAATGGTGGTTTCCTTTAGTCCTGCCATAAAAATGTCAGGACAGTACATGAAATGAATAAAATGTCAAAATCAGTACCCTTGAAAGAGAGAAATGTAAATGTAGTTTACCTTATTAAAGTTTAAAATAATTTCTATATGCAAGATTGCTCAGCAGTCCTGCATCATAGATGTTAAATGGTGGTTTCCTTTAGTCCTGCCATAAAAATGTCAGGACAGTACATGAAATGAATAAAATGTCAAAATCAGTACCCTTGAAAGAGAGAAATGTAAATGTAGTTTACCTTATTAAAGTTTAAAATAATTTCTATATGCAAGATTGCTCAGCAGTCCTGCATCATAGATGTTAAATGGTGGTTTCCTTTAGTCCTGCCATAAAAATGTCAGGACAGTACATGAAATGAATAAAATGTCAAAATCAGTACCCTTGAAAGAGAGAAATGTAAATGTAGTTTACCTTATTAAAGTTTAAAATAATTTCTATATGCAAGATTGCTCAGCAGTCCTGCATCATAGATGTTAAATGGTGGTTTCCTTTAGTCCTGCCATAAAAATGTCAGGACAGTACATGAAATGAATAAAATGTCAAAATCAGTACCCTTGAAAGAGAGAAATGTAAATGTAGTTTACCTTANTAATTGGCCATCATCAGGTGTGTATTCTTACATAGCTGCTACACTGCCCGTAGTTTAAAATTTAAAATCACCAGTCTTTCCAATTGTATGTATGTATAAAATCTTTGTTAACCTACACGCGTCAATTTGATTTCTAAAAATGGCACTTTTTTAAAACTTCAATTCAAATTAAAATGTCTATAAATTTTCTGTTCTTTTTCTTTTTCCAAATTTTTAAAAATTAAAATTTTCTCGGGGTACACGCCATATGTCTATAGTGCTTATTAAAGCTAAGCAGTGACACACAGAGAGAGCCTACACAGAACAATAACTGAACAGCGATAAAACAAGAAGTAGCCGCTGCAGCACTATAGACATAGGGTGTGTACCCCGAGAAAATATTAATTTTTAAAAATTTGGAAAATGAAAAAGAACAGAAAATTTATAGACATTTTAATTTGAATTGAAGTTTTAAAAAAGTGCCAATTTTAGAAATCAAATTGACGCGTGTAGGTTAACAAAGATTTTATACATACATACAATTGGAAAGACTGGTGATTTTAAATTTTAAACTACGGGCAGTGAAGCAGCTATGTAAGAATACACATCTGATGATGGCCATTTAGGACCGAAACATGTAGTGTGGAGGAAGGAAAGAAGAAAGAACTACAATAAAATTGTTGTACTTAAGACGGAGTTTGTCTCATATATATGAAGCAGTGTATTCATTTGGTGTGCCCTATGCATATGCAGTCACCTTTGCTAACTTAGCTGTGTATAATGTTTTCATATAAACAGGCCGTACCTCAGCAGGTTGATAGCTTTCCACCACAGAGCCATGTGTTCATTTCCAAGTCATTTTGTATGAGATTCATGATGATTGAGGTGGCACTGGAGTTGGTTTTTTTTTTTCTGAGTTTCTTTGATTTTCCTCTTGTAATCATCATTCCACTATTGCTTCATGCTGCCCCAGAGGTGTGCAATAGCTCTGAACAGGCAGCACATTGTTATATCCAGAGTCTTATATTTTGTTGGTTACAGAATAAGTTAGTTAGTTAGTTGTTTTTTCTTTAATTTGTGGAGTGGACTGAGACTGAGTCCACTTGGTATGCTGTCCACCGTGGAACTTTTGTACTAGCCCCAGATCGTAGTTGAGTGTGGAGCAGTTAGTGGAATGTGAATTGGCAGGGGAAATGAAAGTAATTGTAGAAAACATGCTGCAGTGCCACTCTGTGCTCAACAGAACCCATTTATGTCCTGACGTGGGATCAAACCTGGATCACCATATTGGGAAGCCATCAGCTATCAACCAGAGCTTATGTCACTGTTTCATTTAGTTAGTTGGTTCATTCTCATAAACGAAAACATGTAATGGGAAATAATAACATTTTCAGAGCTTAGAGTTTCCAGTCTCTTGTCTTTCTAATCAGAGTTGTGTTCAGTTATAACAAGTCTTAATGCATTTGTGAAGGGGATGTGGTGATTTTCAAGTAGCATCTGTGAGTGTTGGGATGCAGTGAATTTAAATGGTGCAGCAAAGGGTGAAAGCAAGAATATTCTGAAGAATACTTTCTTGTGTGGGGTGATGCCATGTACAGTTAGTGCCTCGTAACTTCAGCCGTGTGGAAAGGTAAACGCTGTTGTGGAGCACGCGAAGCTATATCCTTGCTGTGGTGATGTTCAGAGCTACTCCCTGAGCAGAAAACATTGCCTACAGAGACCAGGAGTAGATACACAACGTACTATACACCTGACCACACTCCAAGATGCTACATTACAAAGTGGTAATACCCACACTGACATAAGCTGATAAGACTGCTCCCCGAGCTCCACGAGAGATGGTATGACCCTTCGACCACGGCTAGAGTTCCGAGGAACTAACAGTAGTATGGTACATGTTTTGGAGAAACCTGCTGCCTTCATCTTCAGGCTAGATGACAGGGTGAGGAGTTGGACTGATGCTCTGCAGAAGTGATAGAATTAGGGAGAACAGAGTAAAGAATATTGATCATTTAAAGATTGTTCTCTATGGTCATAGTGAGTGGAAGAAATGATGCCTCTGAGTGAACCAGCAGGAAGTGGAGAGAATTTAGGGGAATATAATGAGAAAACAGTGACCCTCGAATTCCTCTTCTCAAGGGGAGAGTGAAGGGATGAATAGTTTTGCTCATAGCCCCAGTCCCTTCCTCCCATTCTTTGTATCCACAGTGTTTTTGTACACTCTTGGCTTATTATTCTGCTGTAATGATGGTGGCAACAGTTTTCTTCAAACGGCTGGTAACTGTCTACCAGAATATGGTGTCATATCTTAGAAAAGACACTAATCTTCATAGTTATTATTATGGGAACTACAGATCTCACAATTATAATATATCTACAGGTTTATCCACTGTGGCTCTGGTCTATGTTTCTGAAGTATCGAATCCCAAAATTCGTCCCATGCTTCTGTGCCTCAACAGTGTATTTGTGTCATTTGGTATTCTACTCACATGCGTCCTGGCACAGTGGTTCTTTTGGAGGGGGATGGCTATCTGGTTTGGAGTCCTGGCTGCCATGAGTTTCCTGGCCCTGTGGTTCCTACCTGAGAGCCCACATTGGCTGGCCACTTACAGAGAGGAGGAGGGAGGATCTATTGAGGCAGCAGTCAGGTGGCTGAACAGGCACCCTCAGGTGAGTAGCAAGTGCTACGATTTCTGACTAGCAAAGGGAATAATGAAAACAGTAACTGAGGACATTCAGCTTATCATTAAGGCTGAACATAGAAGACACATATATGCGTTATCAGCAGAGCCTGTATGATTATCATAAATTATGTACAATAACTTGGCCATGGAAGAGGATGGTTTGAATCTCAGCCAGGACCCTGGCTATCTTGAGTGAGGTTATATCTGGTTTTCCTTAGTCCCTCCAGGCAAATAACAAGATGGTAACTCAGTTTGGCTGTGACATTTTTCTTCCATATCATTGCTAATTTATCATTTATCTGTTATCTTACTGTTCGATGCTGTGTATTCTGGCTACAGACAGCAGAGTAAAATAACCTCCTTTCCAAAAGAAAGCTTGGTTACATGTTTTGATATTGTTGGTCATCATGAGGTTGGATTACATGCGTTCTGGTGAAACTGCTGCTGTTCTTCATATTGTGGT